TCCCTACCACATTTCTAATGAACTTCCAGCAAATTACGTTCATAATTTATGAAATCTGGTTTAATTCCATTAGAGGTTCAAAAAATAATTTAGCAAAAAATATTGTATTTAAAGAAGAAAAATTTTGCTAAATGAATTATGAAAGTTCTTTTAATGGAAATCCTTATTGCAATTTTTCCAAGTTTGAAAGCTTTTTAGTAGCAGGAAGCTGCGTTTTATTGAAAATTACCATTTTCAAAGAGAAGTAAGGAAAAAAAAAAAATCCTTTGAATTCAGGTATTTCCCATAGGTAAATTGTATTTGGACTATTCTTGTAGTAGTTGTAACTTTCTGAAAAGAAATTGCAATTCAAAGAAAGGGGTGAAGCAAAATACAGGTCATCCTTTTTACCTACTGAAATGTTGCTGTTTTGAAGAACTCTACAGAATAGGAGTACCATGAGATAATTACCTGAATGACCTACTTCAATGAAATGAATTCCAAACAAAACAGCATCAAGGGCCTATTTGGGAAAAAATGGACTTTCAAATGTCTGCATTTGCCACATGTACAATTCCAGCTGTCCTCTTCAGTGTTTCTGACCAGGCGCTGCACATTGCATCGCTGACATCCTCATACCACACAAGGAGCTGGAGGTAGAGGGAAGCAAGGGTGCTAAAGAGCACTAAATGGTATACTGTAAATCTCATTGCTGTACTCAAAAAACCCACACTGGCATCCATGCTCAGAGGGCAGGGTGAAAATGCAGCTGAATGTTATTACCAGTGACCCTCTAAATCCACAATCTGTGCGGGTTCTAGGTTTATTTAAGGATGAGGTCATTTTTTTATAGACCCTTTTTCATTCCAGATTCCAGTTGCCGAACAACCACCCGTTACATTTCTCCACTAAAAGCAGAGTAACCTCAAATCTAAAACAAATTATTCTTTGTGAAGAATCATCCAGGCATGTAACTTGCAGATCACCTGGTTTCTTCTCCCTATTTCTTAGGCAGCCCATAACATTTTTCCTCAAATCCATTCTCCGCTTGCTTACCTCTTTCACATCTTTCTCACTTCCAAAGTTCAACCATGCCAATGGTTGCACAGAATCATCTCCAACTAAATGCTCATCCATGCTTTGCCACTTCTCTTCCCACCTGCCAGGGCTGTTATTTGCTTATGCACTCACACATCTTTTCACGCTGTCCCCTCTGCTTAGAAAGCCTAAGAAGGGTCTCTTGCTGTGTTGCTTTCTGCTTTTATTACTATTATTTATTTCAGGCTTCCTTTGCCAGTTACTCACTTCCAGTTTTCTCCTTGCTTTACACTCTACTCAGGGTAACACCACACCATACATTTATAAAATGCTGCAAGGAGGCTGACAGCCCAGTACTGCAGATTTTTATTGCAGGCTTTGGGACAATAATTTTGTCCTGTAATTATAAACTGCCACGTTCACCTGCAGAGCTGGAGTGTCAGCAGATGAGGAGGTTTGTGATCCAGTGTTCAGAGTCGAAAGGCTCAGGTATTCCAGGTAATCACTTGAACTGCATGTGTCATTTTGAGTGTCAGCAAACCTGAGCTCCTAACTATCTACAAGTCAATAGTAAGAATCCTTTCCCCTGGGGTTATATCCAGAAGCAATACTTACTAAGTTATGAAAACACGCTTTTTGGGAAGGATTTATTTATTTGTTTTCTTTTTAAATTAATCCTACTTGATGAATGCTACTAAAACTCCATTCCAAGGATCAGGCTCAACAAGACAAACCTATAGCTTTCAATTGGTTTCAACACTTTTTGCCATCACTTGAAAAAGATGCAAATTTGCCAATGATTACAGTTCAACAAGATCAGTAACTACAACAGCAGATATTCCCTCTCCCAGGACTCCACTTAGTAGCTGTGCCATTCAATATTAGAAGTGATGTAAAAACTAGAGTATCTGATGATAATCAGGAAACAAGACAGCACACAGATGTTATTCCTAAAATCTCTCGTCTGTAAAATTGAAGCATATTCTAATTAAGTAGGTTGTTTACTAGAATTCCAAATTTGACGGAAGCCTAAAATTCCTTGAACAAGAAGCCATTTAATGAAGCATTGAAAATACTATTGAATGAGAAACAAAATTGATCTAATCTTTATCTAATCTAATGATGATTCAGAGTAATGCATTTCAATCCTATACAGCACATACCCTTGAAGTCTACATCTTTCATGAACGGAGTACACTGTTAATGTGATACTGCAGTCATGAATACCCTTCCTGTGTAATAGATCATGGGATTTCAGGGGAATAACTATAGTACACCTTTAAGAAGTACTGTCGTCTGCACAACCCACCAATATGAGTAATGGTAGCAGAGTTAAGGAAGGTCTCCATGTGCTTTTTTCTACAAAGCTCTTTTCAGGCATGTAAGTGAACCACAGTGGCTGCTAAAATGGTATTAGTGTCCATGTTTATCTGTTTATCTTTGGACTAAACGGTAGTGTATTGCTTTTTATATATCATCAGCATGTAGCAGGAACTGTAGAAAACCCCCACATCCTTCTGCATCTTAATGGCAGCTTAATACTTGGAGATATAATCATCACTAGAGAGAGAAACAGTAAGACAGTGCGTATATATAACAACAGCTAAATAAATCAGAATGAAAAGACACATTTGGTCCTTCGTTTCCTCTCCCCTACTCCTATAATGTAAGCGCATCACCTGCAGTGCAGTTCCTAGTGGCAGCCAATGCAACAAGCATCCCACTTGTTCCTCTGGGCAATGACCAGCCCCGCAGCACTCACGCTTAGCACATCTGACATAACCAGGCTGGACTGGAAATAATATGACCTATCAACCTCTCTCTGAAGACTAATGATACCACGTCTCTGTGGTATACAGATGAAGCTATTAACTCTACAGCAGCAGTAGTTCTGCCAATGCAAAAACTGTGGAAAGACAATGAGAGGCACAGAAGTCCTAAGTATTCACTAGGTAGCTGTAAAACCTGTAGAAAATAAAGAGTACAGATGGCAAAAAAACCCCCCTTCTTTAGAATTGTTTAAAGGGAAGTTCATAGCAGATGTATAAATGGAGTTGCAGATGTTGTAAAAAAGCAAACACACCTCTGTGTAAACAGATTTCCCACTAGCGTGGCATGAAGAAAACTGTAGCTTAGTAGGAGTAGTAGGTTTATCTGGCAACTTAGTGTAAATTGTCATAATTAAGAAGTGACAAATCATTTGCAGCCATTGAAGTTCTGGTCCAAAATAATTTGAGCTTTCTCTTCCCCCTTTCCACATGCCAAACTTTAATTAAAACAAAACAAAAAACCAAATGAACAAAAAATCAGAATTAAAAAAAATCTACATTTGGTTCCTTGAGCTTTGAAAACATCCAAGTTTAAAACAAAAAAAAATCAATCATAATCCTAAACTGATTTGCTATTGTGCTGGCATTTTTATTAATATTTCCTTGCCACTTGGGCAACTCGGGAGAACATGAATGGGGTTAGGCTGACAAGCATAAACATATCAGCCTTGTTTTTAGTTCTCTATGCCTTCAAAATACCACAGGTGTTTCAAAATCCATTTGGGCTTGTTAACTTCCGGATTTCCAAGTTATTCACAAATAAATACAAATTTTGGTAGCAGAAAAATTCTAAACAAAACACACGAAGCAGCAACTTTCAAAAAAAAGTAGGTCTTTCCCAAACCATATGACACTTCTGAAGAGAATTTATGGTCCTTGTAAGGCTATTGCTTTGTAAGTCAGCCTGCGTTTTCAAATCTTACGGTAAGACTGAAAAACATCTACTAGAGCACGTGCTCAGCAATCTCCAGCTCCAGCGCAGAATTTTATCCTCACTGCATTTCACCAACTAAGGCTTCTGCTCCCAGTTCCACTCGTATGGATGCTGTGATCCCTCTGCCATCCTGCCTCAAGATACCCACAGGAGAGTAGAGTGGTGCTGATGGAAACAGCTTTATGAGACCTCAACCTTCCCCCGCACCTGTGTTGTGTTTTGTGTCAACATCCATGGCCTTTCTGGAAAGAGAAAAACGCGTGCATACACACACACACACACACAAAAGCAAAGCCTGAAGGAAGGACTGTGAACCAAAAAAGAAATGCATCAAACCTCCCATTCCCTGGCACACTGAGCTTCCGAGTTAGCACCGGCGCCGGTCAGGGCAATTTTTTGCCATGCCAAGCCATATATGAATTTTATATAAGCAAGCTTCCAAACTTGCACGCATATTTACACATCTATACATAAATGTTTGTGCAGATAACGTCACTTAAAAGTTAGGAGGTCACCTTTTTCTTCCTTCAGTGATGTCTGGTACTCTCTGCCATAAAAAGAAGGTGCAGACAGAGAAAAATCAGATTGCTATCCATTTATGACTCCTTCCCTGACCTTAATCAAGAGATAGCATATTAGTAACCTCTATAAGACCATCAACTTTGAACTTGTGAAATGGCCTTTGAAACCATGTGCAATTACTTGCATTTGCAATTGCTTCCACTGAGCAACAATCTGACTACATCTGTACCTTACCTCGCCAGACACCTCCACTGATTGCAGTGGCATGGGCAAACAGCTACATTTACAGTTTTGTGCTCACAGTATCAGAACCAACGTTGAAGCCCAACTAAAATCCAATGTCCTCACACGTCAAAATAAACAGGCTGCAGCTCCACTGCCTAACTGCATCGGTAACTTCGCTTGCGCAGCCCAAGCGGGCAAACCTTCTCGCTCACGTTTCTAAAGCTGGCTAACACAAAGTAGTAAGGGAACCGATGTTTCACTACAGGAAGGCATCAACACAAGGGCTGAAGGCTGAATAGGCTTAAAAAGAAAGCTGAAAGCCAAAGTCTTTTCAGAACGTTTCTGTAAACGTCACCGTTCAGCACTCCCTTTTTACCAAGGCTGCCAGCCATGTTCAAATGTAACAGGGAGCACTACGGTTTTATCCTCTCACTACACGGTATTTTAGGCTTGCTTTACAGCCATGAACACAACACCACTATATAAAGACAAAGAAATGCAACTCGTTAGAAGAGTGTGGGGGAGAAGCCTTTAAAACTTTGATACAGAGACCTACAGAGAGCGTGTGCAGAAACATCACTGTTTTGGCCACCCCTCAGAATTAACTCCTCTGGAAAAGGAAGGATCTCACAACCCACCTCCAAAAAGGTCACACCAACTAGCCGCTATGAAAAGTACCTTCTCCCTCTTAAAATAGAAAGCTGCCACCCTGAAGCTGAATGCAATCCGTGAGGGTGACATGGAAAAAGGGAGGATGGTATGATGCTTTCTGCCATGCTTTGAAAAATCACAAGATGATGTTCTCTTTAGGCAGTAATGTGTACAAGGGGAAACACTGTGATTTATTCCAGAGAGAGTAATTCTGCTCCTTTATTTATGTGTTTATTTTTCGAGAAGTTGAAGAATGTGGAAAGACATTATGAATCAAAGTTAAGTTTCCAAGAACACAGAAATACCACAGAGAGCAGAGGTGGCAACTTATTTACAGCCTTCACAAATACATTTGCTTTTTCTCCACCCTGAGCAGGGCTTGAGCTGCCAGAACCCTGAACTGGATTTCATACTCCGCTCAACATATTCAGCTCAAAAATCTCAGGTGTGTTCAGAAATGGGTTTTGAACCAGCCTGGTACCTAACAGTCATCAGCAAGCAAATTCTTAGAGCCTGCTTGCAGATCTCAGCCACAATAAAATACTAAAGGGAAAAAGGCAAGGTAAGCAACCAGGGACTTGGCCTCAACTCCAAAACTTTTCAGTGCACTGTAATACGTTGCATTTTCAATGATAACGACCTTGCACAGTGGTGCTAAAAAGGCCCTACTCTAAAAGGATTTCCCTAAACATAAATCTTTTCAAGTCCGTTGTTTAAGTATCACTGTAATTCAGACTGCAAACCATGCTTTTATTAAAAAGAAGGCCCATAATCATTCTCAGAAAGCAAACATTAGGCAACCTTGGCAGCACAGTTTAAACAGCAAAAAAGGAAAAGAGAAATGACTGTTGGCAAAAAGGTGTCATCACAGACTGATTACTAGGAATAGAAGTTAGCCCACAAAACCCTGCTTGATCCCTGCAAGGTAGAAGTTTCACAGTTAATAAGGAAGCAAATGTAAGGCTGGAAATTCTCATAAAATCCACATCACCCAAGAAGCATCCTTTCAAGTAGCATTTTTTACTGTAAATACCAAAGGAATTAATGAAGATCAGCCCCCTCATTTAAAAATGTTACAGTATCATAGAGCAAGAAAGGTCATGTTTAAGGGGAATATTTTACAGCACTGCAGAAGTAGTATTGACACAGAAATGAAAAGGGGAGGGGGAGACCCAGAACGCCCTCCGAGAAAGCACTCGAAGAACATAACGCCCCTTTATACGACAGAAGGACCCACAAAATGACTTTTGGCTTCAGCCCTTACCATGAACTCCTCTAGGGTCTGGTAGGTTTTCCCTCGAAACTCGCAGTAGTTCTTCCTCTCCTTGCACTGCGGGCAGCACTGCGTGGTGTCCACATGGACGCACCGAGGGTGGAGCCTGGGGCACTCGGGCTGTATGCACAGCGGGCCCTCTTCTGTGCAGAGGCAGGGGCAGGCAGAGGGGCCCGGCGCAAACTTCTCCCCGATGGCATAGACGAAGCCGCTCTCGTCCACGCAGCCTTTCCCACGGTAGTCCGGATAGGCGTACTCCTCCGGAGGCTCGGGAGTGACGCTCGCAACAGCTTCTGGGAGAGACGAATCTTCAGCCACCTGAGGTTCCTCGGGAGCGGCGTCCCTTTGCTCTTGCACTTGAATGCTACCAGATTTACCGCTCGTCCCCTGGCTGTTCCAAGCCTGCTTTTGCTTAGTCCAAGACTCCTTGTTCGAGTAGTTCCTGTTTCCTTTGCTCTTCCAGTCCCTGCTACCCTCCTCCCTCCCGCTCCTGCCGATCTCATTCATTTTCCCCGGGCCTGTCTGGCTGTCCCTTGTAGATGTGTGATCCCTCTTTTCCTGGCTCGCCTTTATCTCCTGTTTGTCTTGAGCCTTGGCCAGTTTTTGTACAGGTATGGTGGAGCTACAGAGGGCAACCATGAGGCAGCAGGTTACGAGAAGAGAACTAGAGAGAGCTCCAATTGCCATTGCAGTAGAGCTGGGCATCACCTACTGCATCCCACAGGGGACACTGCATTCACATCGGATGGAAGCGCTTCGCAGATCCACAGTCCCTAGGAAGAGAAGGATTAGGAACACTTCAGCTTCTGCACTTCTTCCCCACCCCCCCCCCACCCGCCTCCACCGATGCAACATCTCAAACGATATGCAACCTGCCTCGGTAGTTTATGCAAAAGGCAAACAACAGCCTGCTGCTGCATCCCTCCTCCTCCTCCCCCGCTCCGCCAAGTCTTATAAATAGCAGGGCTCTGGACACGGACCGGGCACCTTCGGCTCCCTGAGAGCACCACGCAGAACTCCGGGGAGTTAGGATTTGGAAAGGCAGGTGCATGCAAAAACCAGAACATTTGGGGGATATTTTTCCTTTCAAATGACAACACGTGAAGAGGACAGACACACGCTGAATTAAATGGATCTCCCCAAAACACAGCGGAGTCCGGAACAGAAATCACCCAATTGAGTCCTATTCGCTGACTGCACGCACGATGATTTTCATTAACCTCTTATTCAGTCTGAGGTGTGCTGTTGTTCGGTTGTCGTTTCTTTTTTAAATACCCACCAGTGAGCACATTTCTGTTAAAGACAACTAGAAACAAGCACATTAAAGCGAGCAGAGCCAAACTACCTCTCCTTCGAACTACCTAAACAAGCACACACCACCTCCTTCTCCCCGTGTCTTAAAGGCAAAGCAGAGCCGTTAAGAGTTTCCGCAGCAGAGGCTCATTTAACCCACATCCTCCAGGAGTTCAGCAACGCTCCCGGCCCCCGTCCTTAAAACGCCGCACACTCAATCGGAAAAAACCAACCAAAATACGTACGCTACTCCGGCCACGATAAGCAAAGGCGCTCCAGCCTCTCGGCGCGGCCCCACCTCCGAGGTACCGCTCCTCAAAGCCATTTAAAAGCCTCCCTCTCTGCCCGCCCGCTTCCACCGGCCCTCACCGGCGGCCCGGCG